GCCCTCCGGGGGCCAGAGGACCCAGGGAGGACACAGCGGGACCCACCGAGGGCGGGGCGGCCCGGGCTCCCTCACACTCCAGACTGGTGCTGACCCCAGCAATGCCGGCTGTGGAGGGGAGGGGGGCGCCCGCCCAGCTCTGCTCCAGCCTTTCTGCTGTGCTGGGTGCTCTGTGCCAGGAGGCCCTGGGGAGCTGCCCATGCCCGCCTCTGTGCCCTGGAAACCTCATCCCATCTACCCCACCCTCTGCTCTCTGCCCTGCACTGGGCCCCGGCCAGGCCCGTCCCTGCCAAACCGCCCAACCAGATGGGGCACTTTCTCCCTCCGTCCTGGCCCAGCAGACGTGGCATCATGGGGGCCAGGCTGGGAGGAGGCTGGTGAGATGCCAACTGCCCGCTGCCCAGGGCACATCGGCACGCAGGTGAGTCGGTGCCAGGCTGTGCTCCAAGTCGAAGCCGCTGAAGGAGACCCAGGCGGCCCTGAGGCCGGAGGACTGACTGGAGGCTGCTGTGGTCACATCCCTCAGGCTTTCACAGACAGGAAGTATTTCCCTATAAATGACCTGACTTCCAGCCCCAGCCAGTGTGGCTCAGTGGATGAAGCGCTGGCCTGCGGGCCAAAGGATCCTGGGTTCGATTCTGGCCAAGGGCATGTACCTCGGTTGCAGGCTCCTCCCGGGCCTGGTGGGGGCCGTGCAGGAGGCAACCAATAGATGTGTTTCTCTCACGTCAATGCTTGTCTTTCTCTCTTCCACTCGCCCTAAAATCAATGGAAAAATATCCTCGATTGAGGATTAACCAAAAACAAAAGAAACCACCACCAAAAACTGACGTGACTTCAGGGTTTGCCCCCAAGTACTCCAGGGGTGCGGAGGGCCTGGGTGCTCACCGCGGAAGCTGGGTGGGAGGTGGGTGCGGGTGGCTGGTTCTAACAGCAGCCTCACTGAGGTTCCACGGTTTTCAACGTGGTCACAGCTGTGCAACCATCGCCACCTTCTACAATCCGACTTATCTGCTCGATGCTCCGACTGGGGTTGGGGCGCTGAGGTCTGAGCGGGCTGGGCTGCCCAGGCCTCCTGGCCTGCTGTCTCTATCCCGGGCAGTGCCCAGCTCCCCCACCCCACCCGTCTGAGGGCCTCCGGTCCAGGCTCTCCCCAGCCCTGGGCTTGCTGGACCAGCACCCAGTGTCCAGGAGCCCGGCTCGGACTCGGGCACCTCCCACAGCGAAGGGGAGGGCCACCAGCTCAGCTAAGGGGTCTCCCGTCCCAGGTGCCGCTGGGCAGGGTCCTGTGGAGTCCAGGTGAGCGGGACCTGGGAGCGCAGCACCGACCAGACCTCTCAGCTCACACACCTACCCACGCCCCATGCTGGTTTAGGGCTGCCATCCCACACCCCAACCCCAACCCCTCACCCACACCCCAACCCCCACCCCTCACCCACACCCCAACCCCAACCCCTCAGCCCACAGGCCTCAAGGCACCAGGCAGGGCTGGGCTTCCGCTCTGGCCCCCGTGAGCCCAGCCCTCCTGGGAGGGTGCAGGGAGTCCTCCTGCCCTCGGACAGCAAGGTGGCCACAGACCAGCGGGTGGCCTGGACACAGGGACCCACAAACCAGGGGCAGCTCACTGTCCTTTATTGCCAACACCCTGCTGGGGGCACAGCCCTGAGGCGGGAGCAGAGAGACGTAGCCGGCCCATTTGGGGAGAAGAGGCTGCGCTGGCAGCAGAGCCGGCGGGTTCTGGCTGATCAGCTGCGGGGTCTTGGGGCACCGTCTGCAGGGAGGCCCCGAGGAACCCAC